GTTTGTAATTGTGCTTGTTCTGGTCTTTATTTCCAGTTTTGGGGTTTTATGATCACAGTTTTTCTTCACAAATGTAAACATCAACAAAAATTTAACATACATAGAAGAGGTGATGGCTTTAAATTTTTAAAGGTTTGCCCCTTGTAAATGTATTAAAAATATGTATTTTGACATTTTTAAATAAAATGGCAATCATTTTTGAAGGGAGCTGTCCCCATTAAAATTTAAATTTAATTCATTTAAATCCCCACATTTACTATAAAACATTAGGTCATCTAGTGTTGTTTCTCTTGCTTAACAAATAATTTTATTTCATTTTACCTATAGAATACTCACATTAAGTGTTTGCTTATGTAGGTAAAAATCTGTTTAACAACCTGTTAAAGTACACTAGAATGCAGGAAATGGCATTTACTTCTTTAAAATTTTTCTGGGGGAGGACCCCCAGACCCCCCACCAGTGGGTCCCCCCCAGCATTACATATATTTACTCTTGTTTTTTGTCTCTGAATGTCATAAAATCACTGATATTCTAATAATAATTCAGATAATCACTGATTATCTGTGAAAGTAAAATTTTAATATCTGTTGGCAAATCTGTAGCTTTATATTGCCATAGTTTTCAATTGGTAATTTTTACAAAAACATCCTAAATTTTGTGATATAGATATTAGTTTTGGTGTGCCACCCCTGGTTTTACAGTGGCCACCCCCCATGGCCCCCCGAAACAAAATTCTGCAGGCACCACTGTAAACTTGATGCTGTACTATAGTGTAGCTGGATGCTAACAGTTTTTAACACATACACATTCAGCCACGCCTGTGTCAGGTACATACAGGTTTTTGTGGTTATTGGGGTAACTTTCCAGATGATTCTGATCTAAGTCTTCATAGTCATCTGTTGTGAAATAGATGGTGGGTTTAAAACATGTTTATATTTTGGGCCTCTTTCAGTTAAATGAAAGGTCTTTGCGTAACCTAGATTTTTGCTGACTGAAGCGACTGACTTCCTGTGTGCCTCTGTATGCATGAATCTGACATTTGACATTATTGCAGAGCTTTTAAGGATTTTCAGATGTCGGGACAAACTGGTTGAATTGTTTGAGGTTGCAAGGCTAATAAAACATTAAAAATAAAAAAAAATCAGTATTTTTTCCCCTAAAACAGCCAAAAGCTAAAACAAAGTCTGATTGATATAAAACTGAAACAATGTTGCATGTAGCCTCTACTTGTTTGTTGTCAGTGTTTCTGCTGGACGGTATTTTCCATAAACTCCACAACTCTGTCCTTGATTTTTTTTTTTGACAAACTCGGGTTTTAAGAGAGAAAAAATGGTTCAATTATTTTGTGTATCTCAGGGTTCCTATCATCCAAACCCCAGGGACTATTTTCAATAGTTGCCTTGTGAGTATAGATATTTTTCCTAAGGGTGCAACGACAGAAAATTCACGATTCGATTCGATACTTTAGTCTGACGGTTCGATATTTTTTCAAAACAAAAAAGAGAAATTTCCATGGCTTTCATAACTTGTAATTTATTTAAATTAATTATGAACATTTGTTTAACCTCCAAAAGTACAGTTTTTAAATGAAATGTTGGTGAAACAGCAAGTTTCTTGGTGGATCTGTGCTCGACAATGCAGCCTAGTAGTCAAACACAGATCTAATGAGCCTTCAACACAGCACAGCTTCAGAAGACAAGCTGATAAAATTAATTTTATAAATCTGTATTGTTCGATACAAGTGTGTACTGTACTGAACGGTTCGATATGGGTAAATGTATTGTTGCACCCCTAGTTTTTACCTACAGACGTTTTCAAGTTTAAACAACAAAGATATTTTATTTTAATGGTTTGCAGTAGGAGATTTAAACTCACCTGTTACCCTCTTTATTCTTTAAAAAAACTGCAACAACCACAGCTTCTGCTTGTTCGATGTTTTTATGTTTAATTTTCTTATTTTCAGAAAGAAGTGTCAGAAGGAAAATATCACTTTTCACCCCAACGGGACCGTGTCCTACATAGAGTTCAGAAAATACTTCTTCGAGCGCTCCATGTCTGTAGGAAACGAGTCGGACATCGTCACTATTCCCAACATGCTGGTTCTGGTTAGGGAGTTTTTAATCCAATCTTACTCCACAATTAATGGTTTTGGTTCAACCTTGTATTTATATGTTTTGTTTTCGGTCCACTCTGCTTTCAGGGTGCATCAGTGATGATGCAGGACATGCCCTACGTGCTACGTTTGTTGGTCAGCTCCACCTTCAAGAACTTCAAGGAGGGTCCCTTCCTGACCAAGACGGTGGGAGAGTTGATGTGGGGTTATGAGAGTAAACTAGTTGAATTCCTTAACCGGTACCTGCCTGGCATGTTGCCCACATCAGGAAAGTTTGGCCTATTTGTAGAAGTAAGTTGCAGCTGCAGAAGTATTTGACTTGTTTGCCTATTGGGATTATCTTTAATACTTAAGATTAAAGCAAATAAAGTTAAAATTTGCTTCAGTTCTCTTAATCTTGGTTTACACAGAAAATATAATATTAGTCAACTAAATCAGAGATGCTTAACCAATGGGCCATTTGGGCCGTGAGCGCCACCTTGAGGGCCTCAAAAGAACAACAGTTTTTAACTTTGGGCTGCAGAGGGCCGTGGGACCGCATTGATTTTGAATAAAGTGCAATTCACTTTCTCACCACTAGTAGCAGTAGTGCACCACTCAGATGTTTAACAACTTTTTAATATGTAGAAGAAGAAACTTGGAAACCTGCCGAAAATGGAAACTTAGGCTGTGTCCAAAACGGCAGGACGGGTCCTCCGAAGGTCGAATTCTTCGGCCGCATACGTCACAGCGC